TAATCTGCATTATTGTAAAAGGATTTCCAGGCATAAGATAACCCTTCCGCATCTCTATGATTAATGCATCCCTTACTTATGTATGCCTTGTGTATCTCTATCTTTTCAAGGTGTTTCAATGCCTGTCTGGAATTCGTGGCTCTAATGATCGAGGCTTGATCCCAATATACCTCGACCTCTTGCTGTTTGGCAAATGCTGTGAGCACTGTGGCATCTATATTCTTACTCACAGAGTATTTATGTTCCTTTAATCTTTGTTTTAACTGCCGCGTAGTAGCACCCACGTAAACAAGGTCTGAGTTGAACCGCTGATCCTTTACAGGTATAGAATAAACCCCTGGTAAATTATTTCGCTTTTACTTTCTCTTATCATTTCTTAACCTTCTGTAGATCGTCGGATTACGCCGATATACTATTTGTAGATTATTACTGTTCGCCACTCTCCTAATCATTTTGTTTAAAAAAGGAAAATAATTAAGAACTACTCTTCGTTCCTGGGTCATTTTTTTGGGATGCTGCCGATTCTGATTCTGAAACTTCGTAATAAGCTCATCCACCTCCCTCCTCCGATAACCTTGTTGCATTGCTGTCTTCCTGATGTAATCCAACTCTTTGTAAGTATCATAGATACTCGTGCAATGCATATATGCCCATTTAATCCATGACCAAATGGCTGCATATTTAATGTGCCTAGGATCGATGGAATTCCTGGGAATAATGATAGGTTGATAAACTGGTTTGCGATAAATGTCCGTCCAGATTTCTCCTTCCTTGCATTTGATAGATAAATCGAGGAAGTTAATATTACTACTACTCTCTTGCTCTAGACCCAAAGTTAAACCATATGGGTTATTGTTGACTGTGTTTAAAAAACATTGCACGTTGTTATCATTTCTCCATAGAATGAAAATATCATCTACATATCTTGAGTATACTATTTTTTGGCGGCTTTATTATTTTTTTATGTTATTTGCAAGTTATTTATAGATTTTCAGAAGACGCAAGTCCGATGAAGTACGCATGCGCATTTCGGTTTTTGTTTAATTTGTATTTCATGCGTTCTTTTTTTAGTGTTCTGTTTTTAATATTGGTTCAACTGAAAATGGTCGTTTAAAAACGGTTGAAAACGTTTTTATTAAACATTATTTATTGCTGGATAGTTAAAGGTTTATTTTATTTTATTTAATCCTCCTGATGAAAAGGCTTTGCCAGGAGTATACACAATTCCTTTGTATCACTATAGACTTGATTGACAATATGAATACATAAGCACTACCTTTAGATCTCATGACAAGGCTCAAGGAACACCAGGACTGTTATTAAAAGAACAGGAGCTATGGCCTTGGCTGCCTATGCATCAAATGGAGATGCAGATGTTCATTTTGATAGAGCTCACTTTCTAAATCAAAATGCATTATCATCATGTCTAAAATATCTTGAGATTATTAAGATATACAGTGCTCTCTAGAGCAGTGTTTTTCAACCTATGGGTTGGAAGCCCCAGTGGGGTTGCAAAGCCTTACACGGGGGGTTGCGGGTGAAAGAAAAAGACAAGTGTTTGTAGGTCCTACACTACAATAAAAAAAAACTAGAATTTCAGTGAGAAGGCTGTGCCTATTTATTTTACAGTACAATTTGTTTTTTGATTGATATTTAAAGAAAGAAAATTAAATATGTAGTTTTTAAAATCACGGATATAGTTTTAATATGACCCTGGGGAGTCGCCAGAATTTTTTAACTTGTAAAGGGGTTGCATATTCAAGAAGGTTGAAAAACATTGCTATAGAGGAAAGTCTATCAATAGTAGGGGGGACACTGCTCCTATGTTGCATGCTTGAAGGGCAGTATTTGAACACATTTAACAACTTTATAAGCATTTCAGTCTTAGTAGATTTATTGTTTTTTTATCTATAGTTATTTAAATTTTTTGTATATGTTATTTTCTTCTGTTTTTGTTTTAATTTATAATAATATTACTATGCTCCTGTGCATGAAAACTTCTTACACAATGAACATTTTTAAATATTTCTTGTTTGATTTTCCATTATACCAGTGGAACCAGAGGATAGCCTTTTTAATGAAAATGCTTGTTATTTAATAAATATTTTTTTTGTTTTAACTGGATTATAGTCTTGAAGTGATCTTATATTGCATACATCCTATTTATGATAGTGTTTGTGTGTTGATATATAGCTCAAAGAACATATTAAAAAGTGCTTGATTCCCTTCGTTCACCTGTAAGATGTGGTGTTCTGACCAGATCTAGCAATGTCCCATTATTCTACAGAGTTACTGAATTCATTCAAATAGTTGATCTTGAGTTTGTGGAAAATGAAAATAATACCACCATGTATCCCAGGCTCATCCCATTGAAAGATTTTGGTCACTGTGTAAACAGTAATGTACTTCTTGTCCTAGTGGTACAAAGTAACTTAAATTAATTTAAACAAATTTGGAAAAATATTGCTCAAAAAGTTGGGAAAAAGTCTGGCATGGAGTTCCATGGCAGGAGTTTGAGCAAAATTCAGATGTATAAGACAACATGGTGTCTATGGACAATTACTTTGCAAAAAGTGAATCTGAACTGTCTAGACTATTGCATGAACAAAATTGATCTTTGTATCTTCATTTTTTATGGTAAAACAATATCAATTAAAAGCGACTTTTTTCATTTCCAAAAACACTCCTTAAGTTGTCAAGTCATAGTATGAACAAAATTACTTTCTCTGATCTAGTTTAAAATGTCACAAAGGTTACCTAGGGAGTTTAAACTCAGAGTAGTCAAGCTCTCTCATTAGATATAGGTCTTGAACAGAACTGGATTGCCACCATTAATTTTTTATTGCTTTGGAAATATAATTTTGCAATTTGAAAATTTGGGTACATTTTGATCAGAATTATGATTTCACTAGATGCATGTAACATTGTAGATTGAGTACATTAAACTCATTTTGTATTTTAATTTAATGTTTATTTGCTGTTTGATTTGATAACAAATATGGGTCGTTAAGCTGTGCTACAAGAAATGATATAACTAAGTTCATCACAATTATTGTGATGAACTGAATTATATCATTTGATTGTTAACAGCATAATAGTTATTCATTTTGATGTTAAATGTGATTTGTAAATGAGTTTGACTTTCCTAGCATAAATGTAGTATGATGCTTTTCTTTAAATGGCTGCTCTGGAAATATGGAGTATGTAAAAGTTTTATTTCTGTTATAGCAATTTTCTGCAGGATATAGTATACAGTCGACCCCCCCTATAAGATAGAGATACGTTCCATTCTTTAGGAATCCGATTTATTACGAATCCTTCCAATCACAACCCGACACGTATCAAGTTTACGGACTACGGCTGTTTGAAAGATTTTCTTCCATAAAATTAATCGATTCTAGACTAATCCGACTCAACATTTCCAAAATACGTATATATTTTTTGGGAATAATCCGTATAAACTACGCTATAAACAAAAAATTGTAGGATTACTTACCGAGTGTCACCATTCGACATTGCCATTGCTCAACATTGTTTTCGTCGCGGAACAGCTCAGCAAAGAGCGGCCGATTTCTAACAACTTATTTTTCTGTGAAAACTTCGTAGAACTTCGGAGACATCATTAATATAAATAATTTTAATCGCCGTTGAATAAGAAATGTTTCTTTCACAAGAAATGTATAAAATTACAGTACTGTATTAGACTTACGGTACCTAATTTACATACTGACAGACGATAGTTAGCGTAAAAATCTCCGTAGCGTGGCGCCACGCTAGACGGCGGAAATTATATATTTAATTATAACAAAGTTACAATAAGTTAATATATAATTATATATACAGTACCTAATTTATATATAATTTATATAATACTGTCCAGATGATAGAAATCTCTCCGTAGCGTGGCGCTACGTACGGCAGGAAAGTAGTTTGGCTGCCCGATGACGTTTGAGGTAATTATAGGGAATTTTTACTGTTTTTTACGGATACCGGTCACAATTTTTTCGTAGTTTTATAGGAATCGTAATTATAGGGACCGTAATTATAGGGGGGTTGACTGTATACAGGAAAGTTGGCATAGATTTTATGAACAAAATTAGAATAGTTAATTTCATAGGCTAGGTAGACTCACAAAAAACAGTTTGGATTATAGATTTGGATGGATTTAGATTAATTGGATAACATTATATTTATATTTGTGATACTTTGAAGATTATTTGCAATAATCAAAAGCATTTATTGAAGATTGTTGGATTAACTATAAATTTGAAATGACTTCTTTCATTTATTTTGATTTAAATGTTTTCAAAGTTAGTTAACTGCATTTAGAAAATCTTTTTATCCTGAATATTTAAAATTTAGTAAATGATTTAGTGATGACAGCTACTAAACACTTTAATTAGATTTTTAAAAAAACTTTAAATTGTTTAAGTCAAAATAAAAACTAGAACTAATACAAATCAGTACTTGATTTTATAATTAATGTATAGTATATGTTTGTCTCTGTCCAAGAGACACGTGATTTATGAAGAAATTTTAATAGGCATTAGGTATTTAAAGGTCAGTATGAAAGTTTTTGATTTGATTTAAGGCCTGGTTATAAAAATATGACAATGAGCTTTATTGACTGATTTAACTGATCATTTCTTTTTGGTTTATGTATTGTAAAGAACAAATTGATTAGACCAATTGTTGACAATTTTGTTATCCATGCAAATTTTTAAACCCCAATCACTTTTTCTAAATTAAACAGACCAAAAATCAGAATTGGAGGTCATGCTTTGATAAATTTTAAATTTTGATATTTTTAATATATGTTGATAATTTTAAAGTTATTATTATCTTACCATTAGCAATAGCAATTTTGTTGTAAATTATTGTGAAATTAAAACTAATTTTATTATTTAAGTTATGTACAATATATCTTAAATACTAACATTTTATTTAAAATCAAAAATAAAAAAATTTCTTTGTATAATTAGCATATAATATATTTACAGGTTTGCATTTTATAATCAAAGTTATTAGAAAGGTGGACACAAATAATTGAAGAAAATATCAAAAATCGACTGTCAGATCAATTAAGTTGTCAGTTATTTCAAAGAAAAGGCCTTATAATAATTATTATTCAAAAATCTTTCTAAGAAGCAATGTTTTTCCACTGTTGTTTGATTTTTCTGGATATAATAAAATAATTGTTTAGGAAAAGAACGTGCAGAGTGAAGAAAAGTTAAGATGGCCACTGTAAAACATGATGATATAAAGTCACTGGAAAATGTGGTTAAAAAAAGGAAAACCACTCATTTCTGTGGTAATTCTGACCTTAAAAATGAAGATAAAGCTCATTTATCAAAAGGTAAAATTAAGTAAACAAAATAGTAGTAGTTTAAAATACATATAGAAAAAAATTTTTCACATTAGAGTTTTTTATAATATGATTACAGTTTCGTTAATCTTTTGAAATATATCATTAATTAAAACGTTTTTTTAAAATTATCTAAATGAAAAATATATTAAATATTCATTTGGAGAGCTTTTTACAAAAGTTTGTTTTTAATATTTTAAAACCAACAGTTAATTAAAAAATATTTCAAATGAAATTATTGTTTCAAATTAATAAACTATTCTGAAGATGAGTGGTTACATTTAAAGTATTTGCATCTTAATACATGATATTCAAGTTCATTAAGCAGTTTTAGAATTTTTTAATAATCTTTCCTAGATTGATTAATTTTCTAGTATTTGTAAACTATCACTACTTTATCTCAAAAAATTAATATTATAATTGGAAGTCAATTTTTGAAACATATTGTAATACTTAATTTAATGAGTTTTCTACAAGAACAATTTGCTCAAAATAACATTGCCCTGTCAATAATCTTTATTTCATAAATTGCCATAGACTCATTTGGGATTATGTTTCCCTTCTTTAGTATAGAATTTTACATAATCCTTATCAGTTTTTGACAATACATCTTTACAATAAAACTGTCATAAAAATTTCATGTCAGTATGTGATTTATTAAACCACTTTATTGATATCTGGTTATTTTTTGTGTTTATTTGAGAAACAAAAAATTAACATTTACAAATCTTGATGTTCAAATTACTGGGTAGATACTTACCAGGACAGTAATGCAACTTGTAGCACTTCAGACTTTGATGGATGTTTCTATGACATTTCTCTTAATACTGAACTTGTTTCTATTTCATAAACTACCACATTTTTCACATGGCATCTCACCACGTAAAATGCAATATTTGACAATTGCAGATTTTGATCTTTACTGAATATGAAGAAATGTTTTTTGATATATCTCAAGTTTAAACTACTTGTTTTTTTTTGCAACTTTAACATAGCATTTGATACTAATTACTTACAACTGTCTGGCTACTTGCCTGCTTCTTTTTGGCTTATTAGTATTTACATACATACTTCAGAATGAATGCATCCTGTGTAACTATTATGTAAATGATAGAAATTTACATGGAAATCATTGATATCTTTCATTTTCAATTGAGCCAATCTATATGTTTTTCCATTATGCCCACATTTACATAGTTATCTCAGTGGAATTTGAGGGCTATGTCTCAGTTCTTTCTGCAAGTTTTTTTTTTCTAGTTTGCTGAAATAATGTTATCCGTCATGATCAAATAAGATTAATTACTAATGTTTAGTATTTTGGGCAAAAACAGAGTTGTTCTAACTACAGCTCACATACTTGCAAAATGATCATAAAAAACCCTTTAAAAAATTCTTTAATTGAGTCAATTGACTATAGCTGATGATCTTATTGGGTTATTGGAAAAGGTGATTTTTGAACATTTAGGTCTATGGATTAGACAAATTTTGGGACAACAATGCACTTTCTAATTGTATTTAACAAAGGAAAAATTGATGTTTACATGTAATATTATAATGAAAGTAAAATTTATATTAATTAAAACAAACTTAATTAGTAAAAATCTATTTTTCTTTACATCTTAATACATGATAAATACATAAATTCGGAGAAAAATTAATTTGGTTAATTTACATTAGGAAAAATATGGCATTTGATTTAAACACTTTTATATTTTATTTTTAAAAACAAAATTCAGTGAAAGGTTTATTCTTAATATTTAACTGATCTTTTCTTAAGTATATTTTTTAGTATAAATATCAGAAATTGAAATTAATATAATAATATGAATCATAGAAATATGAATTAGTGATTTTTACTGCATAACTATTTGTTTATGACTATAAAAAAGTATATTGTTACAGAAACAAGTGTGAAATAATATTTTTGTGTAACTATTTGTTATATATTTTAACATCTTTCAATTTTATATTCTAGCGTGTTAAATTAATATTTATCATTATGTGGGGGCAGGGGGGGGAAATAAAAAAAACTCAATGAACGATAATAGACAATATATATTGTCATCGTCTCCCTTGCCATTTGGACTGCCAAGCGGTAACAATCAACGACATGTGGAACCAGTTGAGTCAGAGATAGATGCTTTGTTTACAAACAACACAACCCTGAAAGAAGCTTACAAGATTCCACGATCTTAGAAGTTCTATGGCGGTTGCGGCCTCTGGGTCTTTCTCTCCTTTCCAAGATAGTCTTATTTTGAAGGAGTGTCCCTTGTTTGTGAATGAACCATTCCATCACGTCTCGATTCCGGGACGATGCGGTCGACTTCCATTGATGGAAAGATGTCGATCTGAGGTCGGGAGATGGAGACAAAGATGGGTGCGAGACCCACACAGTAGATCCGTCACTTGGAACTTTCGGGAGAAAAAGCTGTCACGTCCTTGAATTTCTGGGGTTTTATCTGTTTTCTCTCAGATTCCCCTTTCCGATTGGTCTCTCCTTGTCACCTGATGAGAATTCGAAACCTTTCGGGGGCGCGGGAGAGGTCAAAATTGAAGTTTAATTCGATCTCCAACCGGAAATGGTCGATGCACTTACATTCTTCTATTGTTTAAAAGTTAGCGTTGCATTTTCATAAAATAAAAATCTATTTCTAACTACTATATTATTTTCTTTAAAACAATTATTTTAACGCAAATTTTAGTGAGGGTTCGGACCTGTCCAGAGCATCACAATTATTTCTATGCATTTTGATGACAGTTAAATGTTTTTAAAAACAATTAAAGGTAGTATCTCTGACTGAATAAAAAACCGTTTAAGATAATTTCTTAATATTTCCAATGGAGCATTTCTAAATTTTATACAAATTAACTAAAAATTATGTTTCTTTATTAATAACATCAATATAAATAAAATAAAATAAACCTTTAACTATCCAGCAATAAATAATGTTTAAAAAAACGTTTTTAAACGACCATCTTCAGTTGAAACAATATTAAAAAAAGAACGCATGAAATACAAATTAAACAGAAACCGAAATGTGCATGCATACTTGCATGCACATACATGCATCGGACTTGCATCTTCTAAAAATCTATAAATAACTTGCAAATAACATAAAAAAATAATAAAGCCGCCAAAAAAGGGGGGAGGAGAATATACGTTGATTACAAGGTGTTAATCTGCGTTATTGTAAAATGATTTCCAGGCATAAGATAACCCTTCTGCATCCCTATGATTAATGCATCCCTTATTTATGTGTGCCTTGTGTATCTCTATCTTTTCAAGGTGTTTCAATGCCTGTCTGGAATTCGTGGCTCTAATGATCGAGGCTTGATCCCAATATACCTCGACCTCTTGCTGTTTGGCAAATGCTGTGAGCACTGTGGCATCTATGTTCTTACTCACAGAGTATTTATGTTCCTTTAATCTTTGTTTTAACTGCCGCGTAGTAGCACCCACGTAAACAAGGTCTGAGTTGAACCGCTGATCCTTTACAGGTATAGAATAAACCCCTGGTAAATTATTTCGCTTTTACTTTCTCTTATCATTTCTTAACCTTCTGTAGATCGTCGGATTACGCCGATATACTATTTGTAGATTATTACTGTTCGCCACTCTCCTAATCATTTTGTTTAAAAAAGGAAAATAATTAAGAACTACTCTTCGTTCCTGGGTCATTTTTTTGGGATGCTGCCGATTCTGATTCTGAAACTTCGTAATAAGCTCATCCACCTCCCTCCTCCGATAACCTTGTTGCATTGCTGTCTTCCTGATGTAATCCAACTCTTTGTAAGTATCATAGATACTCGTGCAATGCATATATGCCCGTTTAATCCATGACCAAATGGCTGCATATTTAATGTGCCTAGGATCGATGGAATTCCTGGGAATAATGATAGGTTGATAAACTGGTTTGCGATAAATGTCCGTCCAGATTTCTCCTTCCTTGCATTTGATAGATAAATCGAGGAAGTTAATATTACTACTACTCTCTTGCTCTAGACCCAAAGTTAAACCATATGGGTTATTGTTGACTGTGTTTAAAAAACATTGCACGTTGTTATCATTTCTCCATAGAATGAAAATATCATCTACATATCTTGAGTATACTATTTTTTGGCGGCTTTATTATTTTTTTATGTTATTTGCAAGTTATTTATAGATTTTCAGAAGACGCAAGTCCGATGAAGTACGCATGCGCATTTCGGTTTTTGTTTAATTTGTATTTCATGCGTTCTTTTTTTAGTGTTCTGTTTTTAATATTGGTTCAACTGAAAATGGTCGTTTAAAAACGGTTGAAAACGTTTTTATTAAACATTATTTATTGCTGGATAGTTAAAGGTTTATTTTATTTTATTTATATTATTCATTCCAGTATAAGTTCTTGTTTTTATTTATTAATAACATCTGTCTACAAATTGCAATATGAATATACAAAGATTCTCATATAAATTTTTACTCCAATTACTATTGTCTATTCAAGATAACTTTAAAAACTATCTAAGCCAGTAGTGCCAAGTCATAGGTAGGTGGGCCACATATATTTTGTTCATTCCATATACAGTAATTTCTCAACTTACGCTACTTGGAGTTACGCGATTTTCAAATCTCGTCGATTCCTCTTTTGTTTGAGCACCACGCAACTCTTGATTACTCACTCCCCTCACACTATTGTTCAGCTTACATGTTCGGATGTGTCGCATGGAATCGACGCATAGCTACAATTTATTTTGTGTTATTTATTTCTGTATTTGTTATATCTACAGAAACTCGAGAGACTCTAGTATGTCATCCAAACGAAGTAGAACTGATTCTTCTGCATCAAACAAGAAAAAAAACTTTATCTTTGGAATGTAAAGTTAACATTATTAACTTTGATACAAAAATGAAAATTTGTGAATTGGCAAAGAAGTTTGATCTACTGGAATCGACGGTCAGAACAATTATAAAAGGTAAAGAAAAATTTCTCGAAGCTATGAAAAATGTTCAA